AGCTGGGCGTGGTGGCGCTTGCCTGTAGTTCCCGCTACTTGGAAGGCTGAGACGGTAGGATCACCTGAGCCCAGCACGTTGAGGCCGCGGTGGCCGGGAGCGTGTCATTGCACTCCAGCCTGGGTGACAGAGTGAGACTCCAACTCAAAAAAAAAAAAATCTCCAAGAAAAAAATTCACTGAAGCCAAACGCAGCCTCTCACAACAACACTAGCTGGTACACGGATGCCGATGGGGTCCTGGAACACTTACCTGGCAGGGGTACCACAAGGGGCCTGCCCTCCAAAAGATATCTCTGGGTTTTTGTGGGTCTCCCTTGTGTGCTCTCCTCTCTCTTGTCCGTTCCCTCCTCTCTGGGTACTCCTAACATTCCCAGCCCTGGTTAAACTCACCCCCTACCTTCTCCAAAGCCACCACATGGGCTTCTGGTCTCTCTAAATTCATGAAAACCTCTAGTGGGCCCTCCGTGCTGCCTGTGGTCAGATTTTGCCTCCTGAAGATGTTCAAGCGTGTCATTGATCTCTGAAATGGGGCAGCCAGCCGGGTGCGGTGGCTCACACCTGTAATCCCAACACTTTGGGAGACCGAGATGAGAGGATTGCCTGAGTCCAGAGGTTCGGGACCAGCTGGGCAACTTGCTGAGACCTCGTCTCTACAATAAATAAAAAAATTAGGTGTGGTGGCGCATGCCTGTAGTTCCAGCTACTTGGAAGGCTGAGGTGGAAGGATCGCCTGAGTCCAGCAGGTCGAGGCTGCCATGGCCGTGAGATGCCACTGCACTCTGGCCTGGGTGACAGAGTGAGACTCTGACTCAAAAGAAAAAAAAGAAATGGGGCAGCAGAAATGTGATTCCTCTGCCCCAGAGCTGTGACCCCACATCGCTGGGCCAGAAGCCCCATGAACCAGGCACAGCTGTCCAGACTTCAACACATGCCCAGCCAGCCTTCAGGAGACAGAAGATTCTCCTCCGACAGCAGCTTCTCCCTGCTCACCCTCTGGCTTTCGGGCTGCTTCGGAACTCAAGTCTCAACGAGTGACATCCTCTCTGAGGGCACGCTCTCCTCTTCCGCTTCACTTTCTCACTCTCGGCACTGCTGAGAGCTATTCCGACATCATTTATTCTTAGCACCAAAGCACAACTCATATGCAGATAAGCCAAAGCCAGGAAAACTGCGTGTTCATTTTCCAAATTCTTTGTGAGAAGGATCGAGAACACCTGGGGGCTTGGGGGTGGCAGGGGCCAAAGCCAAGTCGGACGCCTCAGAGTGGGAGGAAAGTGCCTAAGAGGGGCCTGGAGACTGACTCCGTGGACACGTGTTACCTTGGGCAAGTCCCCTCAGCTTCCTGGAGCTCAGCCTCCTCTTCTGTAGAGGGAGGGGCATGGATGAAGTAATTCCCAAGGTCCTTTCTAGAGCTTTTCTTTTTTGAGTCGGAGTCTCACTCTGTCGCCCAGGCTGGAGTGCAGTGGCACACTGCTCATGGCCACCACAGCCTCAACCTGCTGGGCTCAGGCCATCTTTCGGCCTCAGCCTTCCAAGTAGCTGGAACTACAGGCGCACACCACCACGCCCGGCTCAATTTTTGATTTCTTGTAGAGACAAGGTCTCGCCAAGTTTCCCAGGCTTGTCTTGAACCCCTGAACTCAGGCATTACTCTCGTCTCTGCCTCCCAAAGTGCTGGGATTACAGGCCTGAGCCACCGGACCCGGGTAATCAGTTTTTCAATCAAGTAAAGACTTGCTTCTTGCCCAGAGGGTACAAAAATAATAGGGCACAAATATTTAAAGATATTTATAAATTAAGTTTTCTTTTTCTATAAAAATGGGGTCTATGTTGCCCAGTCTGGTCTTGAACTTCTGGACTCAAGCAATCCTCCCACCTTGGCCTCCCAACATGCTGGGATCACAGGCATGAGCCACCACGTGAGGCCTAAATTTTTTAATTTTTGTAGTGATGAGATCTCACTATGTTGCCTGGGCTGGTCTAGAACTCCTGGGCTCAAGTGATCCTCCCACCTTGGCCTCCCAAAGTGTTAGGATTATAGGCACGAGCCACCGCACCTGGCCAAATTTAATGTTTTATTTGGGAACCAGAGAACGGCATCACACAGACCGGCAGGTCTTCAGTATGTCTGAAGAACTGGTGAGGGTAGGGAGTTTTATTAGAAAGAGAAATGTTACATATTGTCTTGAAAGAAAGCTCATTGACACTGGAGAAGCTTTTGGAAGCTGGTATGCTTCGACTGGTGAGTGACAGTAGCAGATAAAACTAATCAGATAAAACTAGTCTTAGAGGCAGCCGGGCTCGGTGGCCCAGCCTGTAATCCCAGCACTTTGGGAGGCCAAGGCGAGTAGATTGCCTGAGCTCGCAGGTTCGAGACCCACCTGGGCAACTTGTCAAGACCTCATCTCTACAATAAATCAAAAAAATTAGCCGGGCGTAGTGGCACGGGCCTGTAGTTCCGACTACTTGGAAGGCTGAGGAGGAAGGATCGCCGGAGCCCAGTAGGTCGAGGCTGTGGTGGCCGGGAGTATGCCACTGTACTCCAGTCTGGGCGACAGTGAGACTCCGACTCAAAAAAAAAAAAATTAGCCAGACATGGTGGCGGTCACCTGTAGTCCCAGATAGTTGGGAGACTGAGGCAGAAAGATCAGCTGAGCCCAGAAGGTCAAGACTGCAGTGTGCTGTGCTCATGTCATTGCAACTCCAGCCTGGGCGACAGAGTGAGACTCCAACTCAAAAAAATAAAATAAAATAGATAAGTAGTTTAAAAATTAGCCGGGCATGGTGGTGTGAACCTTGTAGTCCCAATGACTTGGAGGCCGAGGTGGAAGGAGTGCCTGGGCCCAGGAGGCTGAGGCTGCGGTGAGCCACTGCAGTCCAGCCTGGGCAACAGAGTGAGATCCTACTAAAAGAAAAAAAAAAGAAAGTTCAAGTTTCTAACTTGAAGGCAAGTCTTCTCTGTCTTCCTTGAAGTCTTACTCTCTCTTGCCCATGCTCTGTCATCCTGAAATCTGTCCCTCATATTTATTTCTGCCATCCTCCTGAAGATGTTCTAGCATATCACTGATCAAATATTTCCATGTAATGTGTAAGGCAGTGTTAGGTTAATATATATATATTGCAGCAGCCCCTCCAAATGTTAGGTTAGACCAACCAGGGCGGGGTTGTGAGAGCTAGGACCACGTGAAAGATTCAAAGAATTGCCGGGCTCGGTGGCTCAGCCTGTAATCCCGCGCCTTTGGGAGGCTGAGGTGAGTGGATTGCCTGAGCCCGCGGGTTCGAGACCCGCCTGGGCAGCGAGGTCTCATCTCTACAATAAATCAAAACATCAGCTGGGCATGGTAGCACGCGCCTGTAATTCCGGCTACTTGGAAGGCTGAGGCAGAAGGATCGCCGGAGCCCAGCAGGTCGAGGCTGCGGTGGCCGGGAACGGCCACTGCACTCCAGTCTGGATGACAGAGTGAGACTCCAACTCAAAAAAAAAAAAAAAGAAAAAAAAAGATTCAAAGAATTGCCCAAGGAGTAGGTTAGAAAAAGTTTATTTAGAAGGTAAATTAGGCCAGGCACAGCACTTTGGGAGTGAGAGGATTGCCTGAGCTCAGGGTTTCAAGACCATCCTGGGCAACTTGATGAGACCTCGTCTCTACAATAAATCAAAAAGTTAGCCGTGCGTGGTGGTGCACGCCTGTAGTTACAGCTACTTGAAAGGCTGAGGTGGAAGGATCGTCTGAGCCCAGCAGGTTGAGAAAGCAGTGGCCCGGAGCATGCCACTGCACTCCAGCCTGGGTGACAGAGTGAGACTGCAACTCAAGAAGAAAAGAAAGTTTATTTAGAAGGTAAATTAGAGGAAAAGGGTGATCTACCTCCTTAAAATTGAAGAGGGAGCCGAGCATTGAAAAGCCTTTGGCCCTGAATGTTTGAAGCTGGGTGCTTATAGGGCTTCCTGGAGAAGTCTGGAAACAGGAGCATTCCTAGGAAATGTGATGGGTGGGTGTGTGTGTGTGTGTGTGTGTGTGTGTGTGTGTGTGTGTGTGTGTGTGTGTGTGTGTGTGTGTGTGTGGTGTTGTTATGGCAATGAGCTGTTCATGATGGCAGCGGCCAGATAATAGGTTACCTAGGCAGGGACAGTGATCCAAGGTTTGTAAAACACAGTTTCAAGGCACAAAATTAAGCTTCAAATGTCCTTGGACTTAGGGAACAAAAAGGAATTAAGTCCGGAGCATCATTCATCAGAACATTGTAGGAGGGTTGGACTCATCATAATGAATGTGCTCAATTCGATTGAGAACATAGATATTAGGTCCTGCCAAATGGTGAGCGCTGGCTCGGTTCAATAGAGCAGGGTCAGGCACTGCTCTCACTTAGGCTTCCCAAAGTGCTGGGATGACAGGACACCAAGTATGGCCTCCTTTTTTTTTTTTTTTTTTTTGAGTTGAAGTCTCACTCTGTTGCCCAAGCTGGAGGGCAGTGGCATGCTCACGGCCACCACAGGCTCAACCTGCTGGGCTCAGGTGATCCTTCCGCCTCACCCTTCAAAGTATCTGGAACCACAGGCATGCGCCATCAGGCCCAGCTAATCTTTTCTTGATTTATTGTAGAGATGAGGTCTCGTCAAGTTGTCCAGGTGGGTCTCGGACCTGTGGGCTCAGGCAATCCTCTCACCTCGGCCTCTCAAAGTGCTAGAGTTATATGTGTGAGCCACCATGCCTGGCCACAGTTCGTTTCTTTAATCTGTGTCCCAACGGTTTGTCAGGCAAGATAGCTAGAAACTTCTTTGAGCAAGATGTTAATTATAAAATCCTAATGCCCGTTCCTTGGGGGAGGTTACAGTTTTACTGGTTTTACTCATTGGTGACTTTAAACCATGGAGTTAATTAAACTTACTTCAGAGCAGGGAAGTTAGCAGAGACGATTACACAATAAAATATTATTGACTGAAGTATACCGATAATGGGTAGTTATAACAAAAATTAAGCCAGCGCCCAGCTGCCTGCCTGCAATGGCCGAAGTGTCCACATTCTGGCATTTCACTCTTTCAGGCAGCAAATACAGCAGCTTCTTCATAGGAGGAAAAAACCAGAGCAAAGACTGGTGGGTGGATTGCTCATTATCAGGAAAACAGACCTGTGTCTTTACTTGATGAAAATGGCATGGCTTAACTGGGCACGGTGGCACATGCCTGTGGTTCCAGCTACTTGGGAGGCTGAGGCAGAAGGATCGCTTGTGCCCAGCAGGTCGAGGCTGTGGTGGCTGTGAACATGCCACTGCACTCCAGACTGAGCGACAGAGTGAGATTCTGACTCAGAAAGTAAAGTAAAACAATTTTTAAATATGGCATGGCTTTCTTGGTTACCCCACAGTCATCTTGAAGAGAAGTAATGGGAAGCAATCTTGTGGACCAGTGACAACTACCCCAGGACTGTCATCTTGGTTAGATTTGGAGTCATGTATGACATTAAGGAAGAATTAAGTTTTTTGGTTTTCTTTTTTGAGTTGGAGTCGCATGCGCTACCATGCCCGGCTGATTTTTTGATTTATTGTAGAGACGAGGTATCGCTGCCCAGGCGGGTCTCGAACCCGCAGGCTCAGGCAATCCACTCACCTCAG